AACCCTAAACCCTAAACCGAATACTCAGCAAAATGTAAACTTGGAGACGCTTCAAAGCTAAATTATAAAGAAAAGCCCTATTCTACTCATTAACGACGCTGTACTCCGCGCCTGCCTTGCCCAAATACCCATAATCCCTAGACCCTTAAACCCTGAACTCTCAATCCTAAACCCTATACAAATCCTAGACCCTAAACCCTAAACCCTGAACCCCTAAAACCTAAATCGCTGAACCTTAAACCCCTAAGGCGTAAGAGGACAAAGGCGAAGGTTGATGGCCTCGGAGGCTACTTATGGGATGGGTTTAGGGTTTAGGGTTTAGGGTTTGGGTTTCGTTAAAGATTTAGGGTTTGAGGCTTAAGGGTTTAGGGATTTAGGGTCTAGGCTTCAAGATTTGGATTTAATTTGGGTTCAGCATTCAGGAGTATAGGCATTGGGGCTTGTTCATACCCTGCAATGAGCGGGTATGAATCTGGTGCTTTGTAAGGCTTCGCGGTACGAAGAACTAGGGGTGGCACTTGTAAGCCGCTGAAAACACGCGTAAGCCAGATTCGAGCCGCTACACCCCTAAACCCTAAACCCTAAACCCTAAACCCGAAACATCCGAATACCCTATACCACCCCAAAAAACTTACATTAATCCTCATAAACCCTGAACAAAGCATATAAATGCACTTCAAGACTCCCACACGGAACCCCAAAGCCTACCGTGGAAGCCTAAATAATTGCCAACATAATTTTGGTGGTTCCTTATTATGAAATATATTGTGAAAAAACCCAAAAACCCTATTCTAATATTTTAAGGCACTTTATATAGAACCCTATTGAAAATCCCGTCCCCTTGAAGTATCCCTTGAAAGGAAGCCCTAAACCATAAACCCTAAACCCTTTAAGGATCCCTTTAAAGGAATCCTAAAACCCTAAACCCTAAACACCTAAACCAAACCCTAAACACCTAAACCAAACCCTAAACCCTAAACCCTGTAAGGATCCCTTTAAAGGAACCCCCAAAACCCTATTCTAATCATTAACCCTAAGGGTCCATGTACCCAAATCGTAAATACTTTGGCCTTAAAGTAGTCCCTATATAGGTACTTTGGGGCCAATGTATATACTATATGGGCAGTTGTCAAAATTGTGGTCCCATTCTGGGTACCCTAAATAATAGGTGCCGTATTATAATAAGGACCCAAAAAGGGACCATAATTTTGACAACCACCCATGTGAGTACATGGACCCTTCGGGTAAGGCCCCGATATTCCAATGAGCCGTCCCTCAGCCTCGTGGAGACGCCTCACCGCCTCGCCGACTTGCTCCTTTCTTTAGAGGGAACTACAGGTGGGGAGTTTAGGGTTTAGGGCTTTAGGGTTTTAGGGTTTAGGTTTTAGGGTTTAGGGGTTGGGGTCTAGGTGGGGAGTTTAGGGTATATAGGGCTTCTATAAGGCTTCTATAAGGTATACAGACCTTCTATAAGGCTCCTATAACGGTAACTACCCACCTGAAAATGTCCTGGATTTCTGGCAGGGACCCAACCCTCGTTCTTGTCAAGGGGGGTTTAAGGGTTTTCATAGGGGTTTAGGGGTTTAGGGTTTAGGGGTTTAGGGTTTAGGGTTTAGGTGTTTAGGGTTTTGGGCTTGGGGTTTAGGGGTTTAGGGTTTAGGGTTTCGACCCCCCAGGGAGCCCATATAGCTTAA